GAGGGATTATGTTCTGCAAACAAAACCACATACTTTTTCCAGACGAACTATTAGGATTTTGCCTAACTGCCTAATGGGAGAATACCATTACCTTGAAGAAATCTCCAATCCCCTCGAGAGGATTTCTACGTCGAACACCATAGAACTTCTCTGCAATTTCATCTAGCAACTAAACCACAAAAACACTAAACATTAGGAGGAAAACCATCACATTAATCTGAAAGAGAAAAGTCTTTATTTTTATGCATCACAATAGCTATAAAGAGAAACATGTGAAAAGATATAACAAAGTTCGGAAATATCTCAATTAGAGATGGCAACTCACCTCATTAAATGTAGATTCTCTATCTATACTAGACTTGTAGGTTTGTCTCAACATATTAAACAGAGGTAAAGCATCCCTCTGCAACCTGTATCATGAATTGAGTTTGTGAACTATGAATGACAGAGCTTAATAATGTCAAAAGGAAGCAGAAAAGAAATTTTACTTTCAACACTTGAAAAATCATTAGTGTTCAAAGCATGATTGGAACTTACGTCAGGAGGAGATAGTTCACAAACTGGGTTAATTCTGAGCTAGGAAAGTTAAGATTCTTCAATTCCACTTCCATTTTCACTTCATCCATGAGCTTGTTAGCATCTCTTAGGTTTCCCAGAGACAAGTACCTGCCAAACCAAAGAGATAACTATAGAACCATTGGATCAACCTTCGTATCAAAGACAAAATCACGTGTCACTACTCACCAGCACCTGTATTGATCCCAATTTGAAACAAGGTGTGGATATACGTTCTTATAACGTTTTAGTACCTAGGCCAATTTGAATGTCATTTCATCCCAATTTATTTTCATGGAGAATGTACAACTTAACTGAACTAATAGTTTCTTTAAAACGAAGAGAGCATGCAGGTAGCTGCACTACCAGGCAACCCAAAGGCTTCTCACTGCATTCTTTACTAGAATGGGGCAAATTACTGTTGGAGCTGCCTATGAAGCAGAGACACCAAATTTAAGGTACCTGTTTGACTGAGACATTTCTCGCACACAAACACGGGCAGGATACATGCTGCAACATTTGTGTAATAGTATTTTTTTTTTCATTTTTTATCTTTTGGATTGGCACGATTGTGCAACACTAGGACCAAATAAAATCTTCAAAAGAATAAATATTTGAGGCTTTAGAATAAATAGAGAGAAATACAGAGATAAAAACCTAAACCTTAGAAACATTGCTACTGTTTTACTATTTTTCTTTTTAATTGTGTTCTTTTATTTAGTAGAAACATCATTATTGCTTTAGTAAGCAACATATGCCACGACTATGAAGTGACACTAACTTTTATCGTTATTGCTTTAGTAACTCAATCATACGACTAAGAACTGATACTTGAATTTTTGAAGAAGTAGGAGAACCTGGTTCGAAGGAGTAGAGAACCTTGTTTAAAGGACAAGTAGAACCATACATGAAGATGAAAAAGAAGAAAGAGTGGAAGAACAGGGGAAGGAAAAACCTGGTTTGAACTTCAAAGAAGAAGCTGCAGAAGCTCTGCTGGTTCAAAGTTGGTGCTGATTTCCCCACCCACAGCCCTTTTGTCTCTATTTCTTTCTCCTTTTATTCTTGTTTTTAATGTTCTTTCAACTCAGTCACTGCTTTTCAGTGCCATCACATACTGCTTTTACTAGATCTGGATATTACATTTAGCATTGTGTTCGAGGACCTGTTTGTAACATTTCATTGAGGATGCAGGTTTATGTTCAATTTTTTTTTTACAGGTATGTCACTGTTACATTAACTTTCCATTTCAGTATTCTGATAAAAAGTTAGAAACTCAAACCAGATAACAGAGTACATGCAATCTGCTGTTCATGGGATGTCAGGAGAAGAGGGGGAGAGACAGAAGCAATACAGGCATCCACTATATGTGTGCAGTAGTTAAATGTGTAGTAGTCACAGATAGTTGTAAATGCCCAGAAATTTTATGGAGAATACAGACTTGGGAGACTGAACATAAGTTTGTCAAAGTGTAAAGTTCAGAGTGTCCACCCCCAGAAGTTGGATAACTTAGTTACGACCACCAAATACAAGGTACTAAACACTGTATTGCAAGATACTCACATCAAAATAGCCCGTACAATAGCCAAATCATCCTCTCCTGGATAGCACTGCATGTTAAACATTATGAGTTATACTCGGTTTGAAATTAAATCATACAGGTGGTTAATAGGTCACTGTTGACAAAAAGCAACAAAAACATAGAAAAAACTGTCTTCGTAAGCAAATTCCTGGTAGACAAGAAGATCTTCCTTGCAGTCAATATTGAAAATGTAACTCCAGATTTGAGCTTTTAATATGTGTCCAGTGATAAAGATATACCAGAAAAATTATACTAGCAAGAACAGCCAAACCTTACCTTGCCCATGAAATTTACAAGAGCTGAAGCAAATTTCTTCGGATTCCTTCCTCTCACAAAGTGAAAAGATACTTTACCAATGTCCTGCAAAGCAGGGATGCAACAATGTTGACTGCAATTCAGTCAAAATAACTTAAGTTTCAGGAAAATCCCCATCAAATTCAGGTTCATTAATCAATGAAAATCCATATTGGTTCATAGTTTGAAAAAGAAAAAAAGTAAAGAGTGGATTTCCTTAAGCTACCAAATGATGTGCCACAAG